TATATATATCATATATTTGTCACACATTTGTTTTAAGCAAAGAACAAGTATAACATTTTACAAAAATTAAGCTTGTTTCTTTTAAGAAATGAACCATTGTGTTTCCATATATTAACAAATGATTTTTACTTTAAGGCACGATTCTGCAATGATTATCATATTCATTTATAATAAATGAAAATAATTCTCAATGAAAGCGTGAGAAGCTTTACGTTTGTAAAACTAAACCTTTCTCATGAAATTGACCATGTTAATTTAAATATTTCTTAGCGAAAATATTGGAACGGACATTATTTTCTAACAAATTTTCGTCAATAGAGAGTTCTAACATATATCTCTTCTTCTAATATATGGTGTGCCGAAACTACGAGGGTCACCGTAAACAGATGATTCAAATGCTGAAAAAGGCCTTAATGGCGGAGTTCGAAGCGGGCTTGTAGTACTTGGAGTAGTAGTCGTTGGAGTAGTTGTACATGAAGTACAGATCGTCTTTTTCATCATCGGCGGAGATTTAACAGCTATAAACAATGTCATTAATGTCACAATGCTGTATTGAGAAAAACATTGTAAGAGAAACATCTAATGTCAACAAGTAAAATTAGGAAAAAAAAAGAATGATATACGTACCAAAAATACTTCTGTTTCTAATTGTTAAATCGACAGTCGCTATTTTATGTTTCCAAACTAAAAAAACACACAAAATCTACATTAGTAATATTAAAAATGACATAAACATTGTTTGAAAAATTCAAATTTAGCTTTACCATAAAAAATTGTAATCACAATAACAGCGAACGTTCCCAGCGTGTATCTGTGAAAATACATGTAATTGACCCATTGTACTCCGGACATAGGGATGAATTGATTATATCTCGAAACACGTATGCGAAGCTGAAAAGATGATGTCATAAAATAACGATTGCTAATGTCAGTTAAATACATAAATACGTTTAAAACATACATCTTACTTACAGATATGTTTTGCTTGGTCAAATCATTCGCAATAAACACTTTTTGTCCCTGAATTTCATCTTGATTATTCATTAAACGTAATCTATATTGCATTGTAGATTTGGAAACATGTTGCCAAGTAACGGCCACACCATCTGGTACGTCAACCTAATAGAAAAACTTAGTGTTTTATAAAATTTAAAAAAAAGATATACGAAATAATAAATATTAGCATTTAATAAATATTATAAATTTTAAGCTTAAGAACCTTGTAATATTTGTTAAATGTTAATATAGAGAGATCTTGGAATCTCTAATTCCAACAAACAAATAATTCAATAGAAAATTGAAACGTTTATCAATAATTTTAATTATGTCATTTCTTTATGCATAAGACTAAGATTTTTTTAAATAGATTTTTAAACAAATATACATATATATATATATTAAATAAATATACATATTAGGTGTACAACTTTGCTTCCGCCGTTTTTTCCAAAATTCGAGGCTTTATTATAAAAAACTGGTTATACATTTATGATTCAAAGTATTGTCCATCGCTGGCCACTACTTTCTCCCATCTTTCGGGTAGCGTACGAATCCCGCGTCGAAAAAACTGGTCATCTTTTGAGGCTATCCACGAATCGATCCAATTTTTTACTTCTTCATAAGACCGGAAGTGCTGGTCAGCCAGGCCGTGTGCCATTGATCGAAACAAGTGATAGTCAGAGGGAGCAACGTCTGGAGAATACGGCGGGTGGGGTAGGACTTCCCATTTCAACGTTTCCAAGTATGTCTTGACCACTTTCGCAACATGGGGTCGAGCATTGTCATGCTGCAAAATCACTTTATCGTATCTCTCGTTGTATTGCGGCCGTTTGTCTTTCAATGCTTGGCTCAAACGCATCAATTGCGTTCGATACCGATCGCCTGTGATTATTTCAGTCGGTTTTAACAGTTCATAATACACTACGCCGAGCTGGTCCCACCAAATACAGAGCATGACCTTGGAGCCGTGAATATTCGGTTTGGCCGTCGACGTGGAAGCATGGCCGGGAACTCCCCATGATTTTCTGCGCTTGGGATTATCGTAATGAACCCATTTTTCGTCCCCAGTCACAATGCGATGCAGAAATCCCTTCCGTCTTTGCCTTTCAAGCAGCTGTTCACAAGCAAACAAACGCCGTTCAACATCTCTCGGCTTCAATTCGTACGGCACCCAATTTCCTTGCTTCTGAATCATTCCCATGGCTTTGAGGCGTTTTGAAATGGCTTGTTGAGTCACTCCCAATGATCGTGCCAATTCTTCTTGATTTTGACACGAGTCTTGCTCAAGTAATGCCTCCAATTCTGCATCTTCGAAAACCTCTCTTCCACCGCTATGCCTATCTTCGACGTCAAAATCACTGTTCTTGAAGCGTTGAAACCACTCACGACATGTTCTTTCACTAATAGCGGCCTCACCATAAGTATTTGAGAGCAATCGATGAGCCTCAGCCGCAGATTTCTTCATATTGAAGCAAAAAATTAAAACCTCCCGCAAATGAAGAGAATTTGGCTCGTAAACTGATATTTTCAATCGAGAATAACTTTATGATGCAGACACAAATCGACTAATGTTTCTATGGGGTTATATTGACAGTTGCCCAAGTTTATTGTATGACGTCTATGATCTATTTATTTCGACCACCACTTACCGCTAAAGCCATCTATAGGAAAATGGCGGAAGCAAAGTTGTACACCTAATATATATATTTTTTATTTTTAAACAAATGACTTACAGTGAGATACTGTAATACCGACGGCAAGCCATACACCTCTAGCGTCGTCGACGGCGCACTACCACTTTGTGTACTGACAAACATAATCTCCTTAGCATCGACATATATAGGTGGCAAATAAGCGAGTTCCAGAGCTGTCGACTCAATGTCTCGACTCTGAACATTAATTTGAATATGGCTTTCTAATATACTGGCGGCTATAGTTGGAGAACTCATTGGTATGATGTCGCAGTAATAGAAGCCTACAATAAATACGAAGAGTGATGACAACAAGTTTATTCATTTTCATCTTATCTCTCTATCCTTCTCTATCCTTCATTATATGCATGATACTGCACTGACCTGTCACGATATCGAATCGCGGCTTCACGACAAATAGGTCCTTCACGCCAATTGAAGAGGTTGATGAAACAAACTGAATATTACATAAATAGGGAAACGCGTTTAATGCGAATGACGATAATGTCCGACAACCGCCCAAACCTCTTGCCAATACATTATTTTCCTTAATTTCCTCATCCTTCCCTTTCAGCACAAGTGGCACGCTGAAAGTTTCTGTGCCAGTGATATTTCTTCCTCTCAAAGGAACTATAGATACCTGTGCAAAAAAATTATTTTATGTAATAATGTATTGTAAAAAACATATAACATTACTATGTCTTTTTGTTGTGAAATCTCACATTACCCGTGCAACTGGTAGAACGTTGACTTCTATTTCACTTTGCACGTGTGTCGCGAGACTATGTTTTATAACGGCGTGCCCGACGTTTCGTGCGCGACCTATACCCGTGATGGGATCTACTAATAATATTTCGGGCGCGGAGGTTTGCCAGTATCCTGGATCACCATCAGATGAGAGAAGCGGCATGGAGAAACATATTATATCGCCGATAGTCAGGGTAGTCTTCGTTGGAAATATGATATCGCCGATCATCATGTGAACGTAGTCGTATATTCCACTAGGATGCTTCTCATTGAAGGTTTTCACGACTAGTTCGCCATTTTCTAGAAATTTGGCAGTGATAACGTTATCTGCGCCTGCGGTAAACGACGCTAGATCAGCGCGATTTAGCATGGCCTTAACATTTGTCTCGGCAGCATGGAATCTATTTCCTACGTTGTCATAATACTCAATTACGTAATTCAGCTTCATTCCCTTCGGTAACATATTCAGCTCTTCGCCGTTCCGTATACGTAGTTTGGATTTCAGTGAAAACATCATGTAATGAATAGGCTTGACTTCGACAACCACCATCAATGATTGCTTCAAATTGTACGTTTCTGTATTCGTAACTAAAATAATCGTTTGACCGTAATTCTCGCCGGATCTCACGATTCCGTTCTTTTCCACAGTCACGGCCTTCGCAGCGGGCGTCAAGGCACGCAGATTTTCAGGTTCGTCGCTGTGCGTGCTCGACAAGATCCTGTAAGTCGTTGTACCATGTCTGTCGCGATTGGTTTGTAGCTGCAGAACAGAGTTCGG